GCTAGAACTGTTATAACGAGGAAAATGGTCCGCGACAGCCGCGTGCGACGAATCGATTACACGAAACTGTTCCGACCGCCCGTCTCACGGTACTGCTGAGTCCCAGCCGCAGTGCGTTATATATAGCAAAAGCTCCTTAGTTATAGAGAAAAATCCATTTCTCCTGATTATTAGAGGACTTCTTCAGAAACGTCCCTTTCTTTCTTGCTGAAACCTCCGCCTGCTCGTGCAAAATCGTGCACTTTATTTCGAATCTGCTGCTGCTATGCTCCCCATTTTATGTTGACCAAGCGCTTCCATCAAGCTGCCGTGCATCATACTAGCTAGATATTTTTCAATTAGGCAGTCGTCAGATTTACGTTCATCCAAATGTCCAGCATTCTTTCCAATAAATCACGACAATAAGTGCCCAATCAATTGTTTTTACATAAGGAATTATGATGCAATTACTTGTATTGCCATGCTCAATGTAAAACTGGTTTCAAAGTAACAACTGCTTGTTCTTGCCGTCAGGAATGACTAATAGCTTGATAGTTATTCATCTTTTGAAATGGTCCCAGAAACTCAACTCTGTACCGACTGCACATACTTATTCCGCAGCTGTACCTCCGAACGATTCCAATTATGACGATACCGTATCTGACGATATTTTCGGGTATCCAATTCTAGATGAACAATGGAAGCGATAGTTTAGAACAGTAAACTGGTGTGAAAAACGCAAAAATCAGGGCATTTATAGAGATAAAGAGCTTCCAAAAATAGTCAAATGATGGGTTGCATGGAGTAAGTCTCTGGACAAGCTCTCCAAATGCGTGCGTCAATGCTTACAGCTGGTTTCAGTAAGCTGCCTGCGTTAAATGCGTGCGCCCGGATCGAGTGGTACAACCTCTACAGCCTCTGCAAGCCGTGGCAACTCGTACGCCCTGGGTGTGTACACCTAATCCAGTTGCGAGCCCCTTATTACCCCCTAACTATATCATTTTTCGATCGAGAAGCATCCCATGAGCTATCCTTAGTGGATCACAGGCTCAGCCTGAGAATAAACCTCAGGAATCATTTTAACATGAACTGTACCTTGACATTCTAATTTGATTATTTTACGATATTATTTCCTATATCAGTGCATCTATATATTTTATAAGTGATAATATAACCTTTTGAAGGCGAGCACCTAGAAATCCGAGTGTCCAGGTCGATAAAAAAATTTTACAAGATCTTTCCTTCAGAAGCCTACCACGCCCTGGGACAAGAGAGTGATAGCTACACAAAAACCTGGTGACAAGCATTTCGATAGGTTGAATTGATGCCTTACGTTTCTCCTCAATCGGGGATAATGAGAACAGAATCCATGAAAACAGGATACGAATCCTTCAGTCAGAAATTTCTACATACAACTCATGAAATTTTGAGTGGTCGTCTGGAATGATTAAAAATCGGGAATAAGATGTAAAGGGTGCTAACGAAGGAAATGGGTCATGATTCCAATCGAGGAAAGAGAACTGATGAGTCGCGTATATGTGCGTCAGGCTTTCCTTCAGGTCTTTACAAAGGTTATAAAAAATATCAGATTCCCTACAGTAGCCCTAGGAAACTTCTAGAGTAGTTCCGTTCCAAGGCAAAAGTGTAATGTCGAAAAGAATCGAGTGTGTGCCGAGTGTATCTATATTCGAACTGATTGTTGATGGAATCAAATCGTCAGATAAACACGGGTAGAATAACATCAACAACAACAACGGAGGAGTAGAGAACAATGTGGATGAAAATTCGTTATATGCAGCAGTCACACCAGTATTGATGGCAGTGTAAGCTATGTAATATTTGTCTAATGTAAGTAATGACGGTATCCCTTCAAGATGCTTACTTAGCTTGTCAGGAAATCACATTCAAAACGATCTCGAAGTCATCAGATAGTGTTCCGAACTGTCTCCGTTACCTCAGGGACTTCGGAAAGTGTTTGTCAATTCTACACGCTGCTAGAAACTGCAGTCCAGCAAAAAGACTAAGGGGCAAACCTAGGCAACGAAAAATGGTTCCATCCCTCTCATTCAGAACTTAACCTTTCATCAGAAGAAAGACCACTTGCAACTTTCCAACTTCCGCCCTGGGGTTCGGGCTCATTGTTAGTGTGACAAGAATAGTTGTTTGATAGCCAGCATTCACAAATAACTCTTTCCATGAAGGTTTTCCCTGGCCGCAGTCTATGCTAAACTGAATTTCATACCAGTCAGTGGCTTACCTGTCGGCAAGATGGTTCATCGAATCCGAGAGACTCCATGCTCGATTGGGTGTGTTTGTGAAGAGGCCATAGGGAGTCGTGTGGATGTGATGAACCCCATTGGTGAGGCCGCCCGCACCGCAAAGCTCGACGTTCTGCTGCGATCCGCCGCTACGGAATGCAGCACTTAGGCGCCTCTTCAGCTTCTTCATCCGGCTGCGAGACGTACGAAGTGCGCCTTGTCTGTAATCACGACATTAAAAGATCATTAAAGTTAGTTGTACAGCTGGTTTTGAACACACGATCAGTTGGACCACATAAACACGGAAGAAACAACTCTGAAGCTTGGAAATAGCAAACATGAGTGAGAGAGAGNGAGAGAGAGTGAGAGTGACTGCCAGTAACTGCCTTTTAACAAATGAAGAACTTAATCAAATGATTTCAGTAATCAGCTAACTTCAACCCTAACTTTGCCCAGATCGGTTTAGCTGCTCAAACAGGGTTTTTAGATGTTTCGAACAAGCGGATAAGGTCTTTTTCCAGAATAGGCAATGATGCGAGGTTAGGCTGCCTGCTACGCAAACATGTCCCTTGTTGGGAGCAGCACTTTTGCGCGCCCCAGGGACCTTATTCATTCATTTGCAGCATTTGCGCGAGGGGAGAGATGTCTTCCAGCTGCTGAAGAGCAGAGCTAATGCCATACATTTTTTTCAGAACCTACGGATAGTGTAGAAAATAATTTATAAATTGATGAAGCACACATTAGACCTCTCAACTCAACTGAGAGGAATGAAAGCTTACTGATAGATTTGCTGACGAGATCAGTGCGAAAAGCTATAAAATCGTCTCTGGCGGTCCTCGTAAAACTGTGATGGTGCAAATGAGTTCTACCGTTTCCAATGTCAAATGCTTTTCCAGAGATATATTGAGAATATGACTAACAGCTAGGGCGGAGGCGGTGTAGTGGCAAGTGGCGCACTACGCCACACGCACGGTCAGGGATTCAAATCATGGATCGATATCCGTCTAGACCAACAAGTTCCAACCCTCCGGGGTCGGTTAATTGGTACCAGACTCGTCTATGAGCACAAAAGCACTGACTTGTACATCGGCTGGCCACCGCCAGTCATTGTATAGGCCACATTCGCATTCATTCGCCACTACGATTCTGAGTGGAAGTTGAATGCCGGGGTGAATCCCTCAGACGGGATTGATTAACTCCAAAAACTTTATCCTTTACCTTTTATGACGAATAAGCTACTTTCATCAGAGAGAGATCGATCATCAGATAGCCAGAAACTGTTTAATCAGTCGAGATTGAAGCGAATAAGTACTTGTAGTTGTGTAAGCAATCAAAATGTACAGGAGATTGATATAGCTATTCAAGAAATGAAAAAGGAGGAAGACCGTAACAGATGCTAACACAAAGTTCAAACGTCGACTGTGCTTTCAGAGATTTTCCTGCATGCACCGGGTGGGCTTAGACTGCCGTCTCGCCCCTTGATGGGAACAGTCCCAAAGATTCAGCCACAGATAGCCCGAGAGTGAATCATTCGCAAACGAAATCCGAAAATGAAGTTGCCACTCGCAGGCTCGAGTTGGCACTTAGCAACGTCGCAAAGTCGTCGCAAAGTGTTCCAGATGTTGTTGCAGGGCAAAAAGCCGGCAACACATGGGACTGCCACTCTACTGTCCACTCCATCCAATCCAATCGTCAGTTTCACATTTCCCTTGCTGAATATCGCGCAAACGCCAACAGTGATCAATGCCACCCAACAGATATCTCGTTTTACGAGAAATTCATTCTCATCACTTCTCCCTTGATCACCCACCTGAGATAGGGATGAGGGTGAGATTTTCTCCGAGACAGAATTCGAAGAAAAGGAAAAAGCGATCTATGAATAGATGGGAACATTCATCATGGAACAAGGTGGTTCCGCCGAGAGAATACCGTACCTCAAAGAGGAGGAGGATCCTGTAGTCTGAGTGATTTTTTGGGAAAAGAAGGAGTGTATTCGCTGCGGAGGTGGCTAGAGCCTGGTTGAGCTTCGTATTTGTGAAAACTACATTACACACATGAAGTGTAAATATAAAATGGCATTTGAAGTAGCAGAAAGCCACGAGAAGGAATTCAAGAAACTAAAAAACTATCAGATAGATCCAGTGGGAAGGCTCCTATGACATCGAAGATATGTTGGAGGGCGATTTGCAGAATTACAACCTACTGCTTTTGTTGAGAGCAGTCCCAGCTCTCCTACGCCTATGAGAACTCTCCAAGGGTCCCTTACCTTTCTAAAGGATTGGATAATTAGTTGGACAACACTCGCTTCTGCCCATAGATGTTTAGCTTCTTAATAAAGTTGATTCTAGACTTTTATTTACAAACCTACAGAAAGTGACAAATCGGGGGGAGTATGTTAATGGAAGGTTCTACGTCTGGGATGGTGGTCCTCCAAGAAGTATCGTTCTGATGAGCTATCAGATGGCAGGAATTTACGATTTGGCAGAACATCAAAGATTTGGCCGATGAGCTACGATTCCCGAATGAGGTCGAATGAAATTGAAGGAGATTTCGAGGCCTTGTGGTACATCATTAGTTTCATCAGGAAGAAATTTTGAATGAGGAAAATAAGGGAGAATTTCATAAATGAAATATGTAATGGGAATAATCAGTGTCTCTCTCTCGACTGAATTTCTGTGACCACCGACCCCCAAGTTCATTTGGAAACGTGATTAGGGGTCAGTGAAAAACAGGTAAGGCAAAGGCACTATCAGTGCAACTAGACATTGGCCACGACCAAGCGGGTAAATGTATCAAAGCAATCGCAAGTGAAAACGAAGACCATTAAGAAAAGATTTTAAAAAATATTTGAAGTCAGGGAATAGAAAGAAAAGGAGAGAAAATGAATCAAAAGATGAGAACGTGACCATGATTAACATCATCGAATGACAATTAGATAGAATCACAACCTAGATGCTGAGGATCTGACCTATGCGGGGCATACAAGGTCTCAGAACAGAGTGAAGCATATCGTAAAACAGCATACGAACTGGAACAGGAACGCGCGGGGAGACCGCACGAGCGGGAACTTGTCGGGGACCCGAGAACTAAGACAAGGCGTGCCTGATGGGCGATTGAGTAATCCAGTGCGACCGGTGACCAGGTGGTTCGGTACGGGAGGGAGTGACTCAGTGAGCGCAGCAGCTCAACAGACAGGCAAGTAAAATAATCTAGAAGATTTGGCGCTCTCTAACAGAGCCTAATGGACATTTAGCGGGTTGAGCCCGTGGGCGCTGACCCCAACGGGTGGTCGTTATTACAATCTGCCGACTACTTGCTGAGCTATGTACCAAAGAAAAACTAAGCCCAGAAAACTCCACCTAAATGGAAGGATGGCATCCCCGTGGGAGAAGCGACTGTTGAATGAATGTTCTTGCACGGACTCTATGAGCGATATATTTTTAGCCACGATACATGTGGTAGTGTCCCCATCAAGTCCGTGCGCTCGAAAGAAGAGATCGTCGTGTCACATTTGCAAATATGCGAAAAAGGCATCACAACCACCACTGAGAGACATCGAACATACAACGATTGAAGAAACCGCGAGACAAATGGTGAAACCCCTATGGAATAGAGCGAACATACGAGGTCAGGTCTAGGGCGAATCAAGTGCTCGCTTCAGGTTTGAAATATCGCCAGTCGAATTGATTTGTGCTGGTGGTAAAAACGTCGTCTCCGCTCAAAAATCGCAGTTACGTTTAGTGTTTCTCGAAAATCTCTCCCCAACAAAGAGACCACGAAGAAAACAGGCTAGGTACGAAGGAGTTAAGAAAAAGATGAAAAGAAAGAGAAAGGAAGGCGTAAGGAAGACAATCAAGACACTATGAAAACATGACTTATACCAGGAAATCAGAAGAATAGTGGTGGAGCAGAATGACGGGAGGTGTCTGGGGTACTGCGAAAGTTTAAGCCTCGTAAGGAGGTTGTACTTTGAGCGACAATGTTTGACTGCAAGCCTCATTCCCATGGTGAACACGTAGGCGATGACAAAGAATCGATCAGAGGAATACGCGATGGAAAGGAGAAAAAATGATTTGTGACGTCCGACGACATTCCATACCACTCTCGTTTTCAAATAGATGCAGCTATGTAAAATATCTAGGTACCCCTCCCATAGGCTAGTATAAGACCTCCCATATGATCAAATCCTTGCCTATTGGTCAGTCACTACATATGAAGAGGAATAAAACGGAGGAAAAGCCATAGGTCATGAGCGCTATCTGAATTGTGCAAAACTTTCAGTCCACCCCAGATGGAGCAGATAGGATACCTAAAGCGTCTATTAGCCGCCTTCTTTATACATAGACCCATGCATAAAATTCGAAATCACCTACAGACGCTTGAAATCGCAGTTCATCTCGAATGGTTGCCTACAGATGATATTGGTTTTGAAGACCAGCACTTTTGGGGCACTTCAGAACTCGGTAGCCTTATTACGAACAAAAACAAACCACAAAAAGCTTTGATTGACTTTTGAAAATGCCTATTACTGACTGAGACGTCCACTAAGGGGCGTGTCGAGCAGGCTATCCCAGGGATCCCTACACGTCTGCGCACTCTCATGAAGACAACGTTAGGTGCTGGTTTGTGCCTCTGGGCTTCTTCTAGTGGTAACTGTAGTTGGAGTTTAAGATGGGACTGTGAAGCTTCGCTAGAGTTGTGGTGTGATTGACCAATTCTTTCCCATGGCCTCTTCAAGTCACCTCGGGAGAGGCTTCATCGCCGTCAGTCATCCACCAGACACTGTCTCGATAATAGAGAGCTGATAAGCAGTCCACCTCTAACTACGTCCCGAAGAATGAACTGGAGAAGCTGTTGCTGATCGACCGAGTCTGGTGGTCCAGATTCAATCATCTTGGCCTTTATTCCTCCAAGCAACACACATTTTAAGCACCCAAAGGTAGGTTATTCAATGTTGTAATACAAAGATCATACCCCTCCTTTTGTTAGTGCTGAAAACATTCTATGAGTCAAAGCAGNTCACCTCGGGAGAGGCTTAGAGAGCTGATAAGCAGTCCACCTCTAACTACGTCCCGAAGAATGAACTGGAGAAGCTGTTGCTGATCGACCGAGTCTGGTGGTCCAGATTCAATCGTATCTTGGCCTTTATTCCTCCAAGCAACACACATTTTAAGTACCCAGAGGTAGGTT